CTAAATGTAAAAAACAAAACTGTAAGTTCATCAAAGATTAAAATAGGGGTAAACTTTTGGGGCCCTAATTTATGGCATAAATCGACTGTCAAGTACAACCCAATATATGCAAACAGCAGAAGAGAAACCAAATGGCTGGAACCTTTAAAAAATTAAGTTCTTATGGGCATCAAAAGGCTTCTGCAAGAACAAAAAGTGAAACTAGATATTGGGGAAAAAATAGTTGACAATGACATATCCAAGAAGGGACTTACCTCTATAATTTATAGAAAATTCAACACCTCAACATCAAAGAGATAAATACTATCTCCTGAATAAGCCAAAGGGAAAGTTGTTTGTTCTAGGCACCATTCTGTTCCTTTCCTAGGATGACATGTCCTTGTATTTTGTGGCCCCCATGACTCCTCTGTGTGAATCACAAAACATTTTTCTTTCTAGAATACAGGCAATGCTACTTCAAGTTTCCATGAAGAAAACCTCATCTGCAACACACTGGACCTTTTCTTTGCTGGAACAGAGACAACTTCTACTACACTGCGCTGGGCTCTGCTTTACATGGCCATCTACCCAGAAATCCAAGGTGAGCATGTGGTTGCATGTGCCTGGATTCACTCACTCACACCCTGCCATCGAGTTGGTTCCGATTCATAGCAACCCCTCCTTGAGTTTCCGCGGTAGTACTATGGAAGTAGATTGCCCAATCTTCCTTCTGTGGAGTGGCTGGTGGGTTTGAACTGTCAGCCTTTGGTTAGCAGTCAAATGCATAGCACAGATGAATCCCGCCTGTAACATACTGCCCAGAGTTGAGGCCGAAAGACAGTATGTTAGAATGAAAAGATAGATAGAACAATCACAAGGTAGATTCAAGAACTAGCACGTTCTTTAATTTTTCTATCATAAATTGTGATGGGACCTCTAAGGCAAATATAACACAGTCCCTTTCCTCAAGGAGCTGAGAATCTAGTGGGGAAAACAGTAAAATCAATTGACACTGTCACATTTCACAAGACAGTGACACTCTTGTATGAAAATCTGGCCTTTTAAGAAACGACTTACCATCACCTTCTGGATAATGTCTGGACACCTCAGTCTGGTATATGTCTGGTGTGCCATTTTCTGCCACCTTCAACCCCATTCATTCTACATGCTGTCATCACTAAGTCACAGGTCCTTTTTCCATTTCACTGTCCTTATTATGCCTGTGTTCCTTCCCATGTGTTGTTCCCTCTACCAAGAATGTACTCCTCAGTTTCCCTTCATGGAAAACTATGAGCTCTTCTTGAAGAATCTGATCAGATACTGCCTCCCTTATGCTCTTTTCCCACTCTTCAAGGAAATTACTACCATTTTGTTTCTTTAGAGAGAAAGGAAGAAAACACGTTTTCCTTTAAGGGCATGTTGTAAGTGTTAAACATCATTTCTAAATATTCTCCTGGCCAGAACTTAGTCATATGATCACACAGTTGCAAATGAGTCTGAGAAATGTAGTCTTTAGCTGGGAAACCAGGTATACTTTTTTATTACTAAAGAGGAGAACAGATATTGGTGGACAGTTAGCAGTTTATATCATTTTTTAGGTACTGAGCTTAACCAGTTCATGCAATTTTCAAGATGATTATACATGTATCTCCACTGATTAGATGAGGAAACTGAGGCTCAGAAAGTTTAGCTAAGTTACACCATTAATGTTTTAGAGCAAGAATCTGATCCACATGTGTCTCACACCAGAGCCTACTTTCTACTCTCATATACCTCCTTGAGAAATTAGAGTCTATAGAGTCTATGTTAATCTTTATAGCCACAGGAATGAACTCAAACATACCAATGACCATGAAGATGGCACAGGACTTGCTAATGTTTCCTTCTGTAGTACATAAAGTCGCCATGAATTGGTGCCAACTCAGTGACAACTAATGACAACAACAACACTATAATCTTAGGCATTTCGACCTTGGTTATTCCATTTATTATCTTAACTAGG